ATTGAACTACAGTTGACTTACAATATTGTATTAGTTTCAGGTGTACAGCAAAGTGATTCATTTATACATATATATTCTTTCAGATTCTTTTCCATTATAGGTTATTACAAGATACTGAATATAGTTCCCAGTGTTATTCTTGTTTGCCTATTTTATACATAGTGCTGTGTATCTGTTAATCCCATACTGCAAATTTACCCCTCCCCCACTTCGGTAACCATAAGTTTGTTTTCTGTGTTTGCAGACTCTCTTTTAATAACTGATCTGATCTCACTATACTAAGCTGAGCTGAAAAACAAGCAAAGTCCAATCCAAATCAAAAGGCTAAATAACCTTTGGGGAAGGCATGAGATTGTTATTTAAAAACCTTAAGGATACCACAATTCACTGAACATCCCTGAATCATTTTACCTCTCTTAATGCCAAAATTAAATTTGTACTTTACCCAGAACCTTGTAGAACCCACTTACATGGTACCAGTACTGCCACTATTCGTAACTTTATCTTATGCCACCAAATAACAAATTTAATTTTTAAAGTAACTGCAATACTACGCTGAAGCCCAAATCATACATTCGGGCTACTAGAATATAAGATAACTGAAACCAAAATTTAATTTGTATTTATCAAATTGGTCAATGTAACTGATTGGAAGTTGATAACTAAGGGATAATTACAGAGCTAGTATTTACATTATGAATTGTTTCAGGTCTCCTTTTAAAGGCCAAACTCTTCAATCTTGGTTTTAGATAAGTTATCTCGATAAGGCAAACATCCCATAACTCTGAGCCAAGACCTGGTTTTACTTTCTTTAAAGTAAAATGTGCCCTTACCTCAAAACGTGCCTCTGAAATGAACTGAGTAAAGAAAGTATCATCCAGCCTGTTTACAATGAAAATCATGAGCCCAAAACTTCGTGTTTTCATGTATATATTAGCTGTTAGAAATTGGGAGTACTGGAAGGTTTTGGCTATTTCAGCAATGTTTGCAAACATTTTATTTTTAATAAGTCCACTTATTTTAAAACCATAGTCTAGGAAGATTACAGCGACTTTTTAATAAAACGTCTGTTTGCTTGTAGTGATAAAAAATGGGAAAACTGAAGTTTCTAATCATTATTTCACAAAGAAATTATTCCCTCATTTCAAGGGGGAAATAATTAATAAATTTTAATCGTGCCACTTAATAGGGCTGTAATTAAATACTTTCAAATTGCATTTAAAGATGGAGAATTACTAACCCAACTGAGTTAATAACCTGTTTTATTTGATAAATCTCCCTTATCTTCTGGTAAGATCAGTCAATCCTCTTAACTATGCTGTTACAGATAATCTACAAATTGGGGTATACACTCTACAGAAGTCTATTACACTTTTTAAACTAAGTGTTCAATGAAGTATTTGATGATTTTTAAAAAACAGGTAAAAGCATTATTTTTCACAGTCTCTCCAACTTTATAAAAATAAAAAGAAGCCCAGAAGTGTCCATGTATATTTTCATATCCTCACTCATATTCTTAAAAATTTGTTGACCGCTGCTGGGCAAGACCTAAGAATGCTAAAAAGAGAAGCCATTCTACTTTGAGAATTTTAAAAAATATCCCACTTCAATGTAACTACCAGTGTTCATAGTTTAATTTATAAGCAAAGAGATTAACCACTAAGTAGCAGCAGCAGAGTTTATTTTCATGAAAATACCAGCAGATGTCAGCAAAAACTAAAGCAGTGTCGCATGAATTTGTACAAGGATGCTAAGCTATTTCTAACAGCATAACCATAATGCAAGAAAATCTCTAATTACAAAAGCTCAGTCCATGTAAGACACCTCAGTTTTCTACATTGCTACTCGACATGTAATTACCTTTTTAGATGGGAGCGGTGGGCCACGGTCGTATTTAGCCTTTTCAGGGTAGCAAGAGCTCTTTCAACGAACTGAACCGTTCTGATTTCGCTTAACAAAACCCACCTACAACATTACATAAAAAACCAAACTACACTTTAGACAGCCATCCTCACTTAAAAAAAAACAAACATCAAATGGTTTACAGAAAATGCCTATTACCCAGGTACTTAAATACGTGTTCAGGGGTTCTGAACGTGGAATATTTATGAGTACTCAAATGCATTTTTCTGGGGAGTTCATAGTTTTCATCAGCTTCTCACAGGGGTCTTTGACCTCCATAAAGTTAAGAACCATGCTGGAACTTACTATAAGTTATATTCTCTGAACAAATCACTCTCTATATGTATATATATGTATGCATGTTTCAAAATACATCTGTTAAAAATTACTTAGTTGAATCCACGCCAGGAAAGCAGTTTTAGAATAGACTGTCAGGTTGTAGAGCAGCTTGCTATCTAGAAATAGACATAATATTTTAAAAAATAGAAGAATCTCATATATAATATTCCAAAGATAAGTAGCTATTTTCTTATACTTGTAAAAGACAAACGGGAAAAAGATCACTGGGATGTCACTCATTTTATTCAAATATATACATGCATTTTTCACTCTAACGTTTGTGACCAACACTGTGGAAGACCAACGTTTGTGGTCTTATGTTAACTTTTCAACCAGGACCCACCTATAGCCAAAGCTATGCATTTCATACAACTTTTATTTTTGCTTTTAGATTAATAGCATTCTAAAATAATTTAGCCACTTTGAATCATACTTACGCAAAGTACAAAAAGGATCTAGATAATTTCATTGTATTCTATACTACTGTAATTTTATATTAAAACATAAGTGGACTTGTGATGTAGTTTTTCTGAAACATAGCTTTTATTACAGCCTACTCCAAATCAGATATACCTTTCTCTGTAAACATTTTGCATGCTCACTAAAAGTCTGGTCTCCTAAATAGGCATAATGAACAAATATTTGCAAAAATTGTTCAAGAAAGTTTCCCTTAAAAAATTTATCATCTTTGAAAAATAAGAGAAATGTTCTTCTACTAAGGAATGTTGAAATATAACAATTTGAATTTTAAAGTCATTTATTTTGTTGAAAATATGTTCCTGTTTTAAACAAACAAAAGAGCTAAGATTTTAACTTGTCCCTACGAAGAGCTTAAGCAATACACTAAGTCACATTTAGAAGCAAAAAAATGATGGCAGTAACTCAACTAAGAAGGTCTAATAACCTAGAAGTTCAGATAAAATTAGGAGCCTGTGTTTGTCTCTTCTGTGATAAAATATTTCCTTAATTCAGGAAAAAAAGAAAGAATCTAGCATCTGATTTAAGTATAGAAAGCCAAAATATTCTTTTTGTCAGTGCTCTGTTGAAACATGTCAGTCAAAGAATTGATAAACTGTATTTCTAATAATTGGGTCAGTAAACACTTCTAACTTAAAAATGACATTTTAATGCCATGGTTGAAAATGGCACTCCATCAAAGTAAAACCAGCCATTTTAAACAGATACCAAAAGTATACAGGAGTAAAAATAAACCTCTTTTGGTCAATTCATCAAATTGGCTGTATAAATCTATTTTCAACAGCTAAAAGTATTTCAAGTTGCTAAAAGCTCATTTGATTAAAGTACTATACTTAAGGAAAATAAAAAGCTAGTTTAGAGGCCGTGTCCTAGACAATAAAAATTTTTAGACAGACTGACGGATAGCTGTCTTGAAAAAAAGAACAGAGAGAAGTTACCACCCACCCCCACCCTCCAAAGGGTACCCATACACATTCCAACGTCAAGATTCAATCAATTTCCAAATAATTTATACTCTGTCTCAACCAGTGTTTCTCTACCTTGTTTCATTATTACTCCATTAAGGAGCTGTTTTTAGCCCTTTTAATCCTAGTCAACACCCTATTAAATTGAAATACCACAGATATAATGCATATCTGCTTATATATTGTATGTATATCCATGTATACATAGAAAGATTTTCGCCACCAAGCACAAATTTTCACACAGTCTAAGCAATGAAAGGTTTACAGTATTAAAACTTTTTTTAAAAGAATAAGTGGAGAGAAGAAATGATGTATTATAGTACTTAGTTATGTAGATTATTTCCAAAATAGTTCAACTACTTAGCTGTCTCAAAATTAACTTTTCCTGAAGTAGGCACTATTCTCACCTATAGGTAGTCCTTGCCTTGCATGGGCGGTAGTGTGGGACCATAAAAATGGCAATCAAAGTAATCTTAATAATTAATGGGGAAAATTATTGTTCTGTGACCTTGGAAAAAATCTGTCAAAATATTAAAAAGTGTCAGTTATAAACATAAAAGAAAATGAAAAAATTGTGAAAAAGTATACTTAGTACACTGTAATTTATATTAGAAACACTGAAAATTAAAGTGTTATTTCATTGTGAAAAACTAATCAGGAGTAATAGTACTTGCCTTTTTGTCAAGTAACTTATGGTACTGGGTAAGCATCTTTCCTATACCACTGCAAGTTGTCAGACTCCTTTAAGTGTAGATTAGCTTCCACCATTTTATCGTTTGTGCTTTCAATGTTGTGAAATAACTGTAATTTCCTTTAATGTGAAGTTTGTCACCATCACTTCCTCTGGGACATGTTCCTCCTTTTTTCATTTATGATGATAAGTTTGCCTTCACTGAGTTCCTCTAGCTGCATATCTTGAGGCTCTAGAATAGCAGCAGTGTCAACATTCCCATGATCAGTGATTTCTTCCACAACTCTATGTATGTTCAATTCAAGTCACACTTCTAGCATAATCATTTTCATTTCTTCACTGCACTTTCATCTTTGTTGGCCAATTCTGATTATCCACTTTGTAAAATGTCACATGGGTGGCAGGAGTCAACACAACTCTGTGCTTTGCTGTCTGAGCAAACTGAGTAACAGATGTACAGTGACCAATCACTTGCAGAATTTGAGAGAAGTAATGTGATTGATCACTGATCTTGAAGCACATCTGTTACTTGCATAGTGATTTGTGGACTTAAGAGCTAGCAAGGAAGTTTGTACTTCATGTAAATACTCACAATTAATATACCATGGTGACTGAAATTTGAACTGTGCTGTTAGGCAACTGGCTTATTTAACTAAATCACTGTCATTGAAATTTGTGGACCTGGGAATTGTGCAAATTGAGGACTGCCTATACACTGCTTGTTTACATTGACCCAGACAGGCTTGAAGCTGACTGCTGAGTAATAAACAGTCCATCAAACTTTACATCAAATAATTTACCTTAAAGCACCCTAAAAGCAACATTAGTGCACACTGAGTGCATGTTTGTCACTTGGCAATCAACTTTAAAAGGTACCTTAGAATTTTAGAAATAGAGAAAGGAACTTTAAAGATCCCGTAATTTGATACCACAAATTATCCAGCATGTTTGTTATGAATTATTTCTCCTCCTTCGATTTCAATTTGCTCATATAGCCACTTGCGATCACAGCGGCATTCGGCACCACATTTGGTAGAACCGCAGGCAGGACAAGCATAGAAACATCCTAAGCAGTCTTCATCGAGGCAGTCACACAGGTCCATTCCACTGAAAATCAGGAGACCCTGGCTATCATAGACCTTACTCTTTGCTGGGATCACTTGTCTGTAATACAAAACACAAGGTGTGTTACACCTCACAAATATATTATTTCTGAATATTTAGTTGAAAACAGTTAATGAAAAAACTTAAGGAGATAAAATGTTTTGAATTAGGGATGAAACCCCGCCAAATTGATACATGGCTTACCTAACTCAAAGCTACTCTACAATTAATAGCTAATGAACTCCTTGTGAGAAGAAGAGACCTCACTGTAAAGTGCTGAAACATATCCAAAGGAATGGACAAGAACTGTGTCTAAAAACAATAATATAATTGTTAAAACTATTTACCCTTTCCTTAACAACAACAAAAAAAAGGCTAGGTAATAATGGTACATTTTATTAGCAACCAATCTATCTACTGGTTTGTGAACACAGATTTTTATCACAGTATACTATCCAATTGTTTTTTATATTGAAGTTAATCTGTTTCTTGTTCTTTAATGGACTCTAGCAAATCTGGCCTAAAAACACTTACATGATTCAATGGAAAACCTTCACAGATGGAATAAATGGCCTATGTAGAAAATAATTCTCAATGATTACACTAACATTTCTTTGTCAATTTGCATTTTAGAAATGTTCAGTTTAAAAAGTCATATTCTAAACAATTTAGTTTTCTTGTTCATTCTATTGACTGTACTGTAACTTTCTATTTTAGACATGTAAAAAATAAAAAGTAACCTGTATTTTCATAAAATTTATTTTTTAGCTGCCACCTATAGAGCAGAGACATACTGATTACATATTAGTGCTTTCAAACAAGTGAATTATTTTAGCTATAAGAAGTATAGGGTTTCCCTGGTGGCGCAGTGGTTAAGAATCCGCCTGCCAATGCAAGGGACACGGGTTTGAGCCCTGGTCCCGGAAGATCTCACATGCCACGGAGCAACTAAGCCCATGTGCCACAACTACTGAGCCTGTGCTCTAGAGCCCGCGAGCCACAACTACTGAGTCCGTGTGCCACAACTATGGAAGCCCATGTGCCTAGAGCCCATGCTCCGCAATGAGAAGCCACTGCAATGAGAAACCCGCACACCACAACGAAGAGTAGCCCCCGCTCGCTGCAACTACAGAAAGCCCGTGCTGCAAAGAAGACCCAACGCAGCCAAAAACAAAACAAAAAGAGAAGTATAATAAGTTTAAGTTATTTTAATTATTGTGCCAAAAATGTTATCTTGTTCACTTCATTGATACTTTCTTAGAAATAAATTTTTAGAGTGGAAGGGGATGCCTTAATTTTCTATGAGGCCCTTGGAGGTTCTTACTAATTCCAGATTATCGAATTTAAAATATCTAAGCAGAAACATTCAAAACTTAAGAGAAAGATAGGAAAACAATACAGATGTGAAGCAAGTTAACATATACCTTAAATAATACATAGCCTACCTGTCTGAACCAGCAGCTGCACTTTTTGTAAGCCTTCTTTTTTCTCTTTTACCAGTTTCTGGAGCAAATTCAGTTTGCTTTCCCGGGTTTGCAAATTGCAATGACCTCAGAGCTTTAGCAGTTCTTCCCTGAATAAAGGTAAACAAATTATCAACTCAAATCTTAATATCAGACCATACATAAATATTTCACTTAATCTTAATCTAGATTATTCCTTAGCCTGGAAAACAGTCTGGAACTCACAAAAAAGCGAAAAAAAAAAAAAAAGGGTTTTAGTGCCCAAGTGCAACAAAATTTATGTGGCCCATGGTCCGGGACCATATTCAAAGTTTACTGGTTAACTTATTTATGATATTTTCATTATCTAATTTTAGTCTCTGGCATATTAGGAGGAGAGGAGGACAGGCACAGTGAAAATGGCAAGGGCTGCTGCCAACATGGGAGAGAAGGCAGCAAAACTGCTGTATAACCCACAGCACACAGCACAGGCTCCTAGACCTTGAGTCCTTAGGAAAAGGTTCGATTACACACATTTTTAAAGTTGAGAAGTAATAAAGTTTCAAGTTCTGCAACAGTATTATAATCCTTTTAAAAAAATTGGTAAAACAAAATTTTGACGGTTAAGAGTTTAATTTCATTATCTGGGGGGAAGAAAGGTTTATGTGATACATTCCGCATGAACAATAGATAAATGAAGTGGAGAAGACACCTAAAGTGACAGCAGCAAGTACCTAGTATAAACTGCAAGATAACATTGGGTCCTGTAGATATGCCTTTGAGGGGATAACGAAGGAAAAGCACTACAGGTAATTTAAAATTTTAATTTGGTTTATTAATATAATGAAAAGGAGAAAATTGAGAAAAATATGCCAGCAGAAAGAATTATAAATTGCTTATAAATAGAAAATTTGAGAAGTGCTCCTTTGATGTACTAGTCCTTGTTCTGCACCAGAGACAGCTTTATGAAATCTTAAGTTGTTCTGATACGGTTAAATAATTTAAAGGTAACATGTGACTAAGGAAGACAGTTATAAAATAATTATTGCTTACAATGTAAAAATGTATGCTTTTTGACAATAGGGAGTCCTAAAATTAGTCTTGACCATACCAAGTAAGAATTGAGAGCTAGAAGCAAAGGAAATTCACAAGCATCTTAAAATCCCAAACAAGAATGGGATAGTGCCAAAGTAGAAAGAAAGGCTGAAATAAGAAACAATTATTTCAAGTCACTTCTGAAGTTCCTTTTAAAGCAGCAGTTTTCAAGTCCTTCAAAAAAAAAGGGGACTTCATCCTGCTACATTTCAGACCCTTGCTGGCTGGCATATCCTACTGAGTTACTTTGGTATCAGAAAAAGAGCTAGGATGGTTAAGTCCTGGCTGTGCCAGAATGTCTTAGCACTAGGATCTGTGGCTTGAAAGTCTTGGGAATATTATGTTATTCTTTTCCTAAGCCAACTTTCTTTACCAAACAATCTGGGTTTACACAAATATTTAGAAACACCATTTATTTTCACCTCCCCAACTTTATATTCACTGCCTGGTAATAGTTAGTGTACAGTCTTCCCTTGATTTCTGAGGGGGATTGGTTCCAAGATCCGCTGTGGATACCAAAATGCTAGGGTGTTCAAGTCCCACAGTTGGCCCTCTGCAACTTTGGATTCAACCAACCACAGATTGTATAGTACTGTATTGACTGAAAAAAATCCACATGTAAGTGGACCTGCACAGTTCAAACCTGTGTTGTTCAAGGCTCAACTGTAATAAATAGTGATATAAATGTGATTTCCTTATAATTATAACCCCACACTGTAGAAGTAATGGAGAAAAAATGACTATACATACATCTGAATCAGGTTTTCTTCTCTGCCGGTCTTCAGAATCAACATCCACACTTCCATTGATTATCTGTGTACATTTTGGACAAAGTTTCCAACCAGGTACAAGCTGTCTTCCAAATTTTGCACTCAGAAAAGTGGCATCATCTAAATCAATTACATGTAAATTTTTTTTGGCTAGTTTTTTGTGTATGTTAAATGGGTCACAACATGACTTCTGCAAATCCTCAAATCTGTCGATGTAAATTTTTGCATGATGGAAGCAAATTGTATTGTTCCCAGAAAGTGTCATTCCAGTTCTAAGTTGAAGTAAAAGCATGTCATTTGATGACAATTCTTGCAAAGTCTTGAAACCTGTATGACGAGTATAGTAGGTTTTATGGCACTCATTTGTGGAACGAAGCTGGACTCCAACTGAACATGGATCCATCATTTTTGATTCTAGCAAATTTCCTCTTTTTGATTTTTGTCTAGCAGATCACCCTAGAGAAAACATTAAAGAGTCAGATTTGTGCTGCAAAATTTTTATCTGGGAAACTGAAAAAGCATTTGATAAAATTCAATATCTGCATAATAGAAAGAAAACTCTTAGCAAGCAAGGAACAGAAAGACATTTACCAAGATCCTACAAAAACATTATTATATTTAATTATAAAACATTAGAACCATTCTCTGTAAAGTTAGAACTACACAAGAATACTTATATCACAGTTTCCATTTAACACCATATTAAAAGGTATTAAAAGGTATTCAATATAAAGATTGAAGAGGAAGAAATAAGAAATATTACTCAAAGATATGAATACCTAAATGGAAAATACAAGAGGTTCAATGGACAAACTATTAGAACCAGTAAGGTAATTCAGCAAGCATGCTGGAAACAAAAACATTACAAAGATATCTTACAAGTTATATAAATCTTACAAAAGATATGTAAGACTTTTATGGAGAAGACGATCAAACAGAAAGACAAATGACACCTTAAATAAATGTAGAAATTAATCATGGCAAGCGTGACTATAGTAAATATATCAATTTTCTAGGAATTTATCTATAAATTCACTATGATTCCAATCAAAATTTCACCAGGTATTCCACAGCTCCCCCACCCCCTGGGATTTAGCAAGCTGGTCTATATGGAACAGTAAAGGTTCAAGAAAGCCAAGATAATCTTGAAGGAAAACAAAACAAAAAATTTATTTACTATAAAGCTATTATAATTAAAAGTGTGTGGTATCAGTATACTATAGACAAATAGATCTATGAAAAGATGAGGGCTTGGTGTATGACATGTGGTATTATAAATCAATACCATATGAGCCAGCAATCCCACTACTGGGCATATACCCTGAGAAAACCATAATTCAAAAAGAGTCATGTACCAAAATGTTCATTGCAGCTCTATTTACAATAGCCCGGAGATGGAAACAACCACCATCGGATGAATGGATAAAGATGTGGCACATATATACAATGGAATATTTACTCAGCCATAAAAAGAAACGAAATTGAGCTATTTGTAATGAGGTGGATAGACCTAGAGTCTGTCATACAGAGTGAAGTAAGTCAGAAAGAGAAAGACAAATACCATATGCTAACACATATATATGGAATTTAAGAAAAAAAAATGTCATGAAGAACCTAGGGGTAAGACAGGAATAAAGACACAGACCTACTAGAGAATGGACTTGAGGATATGGGGAGGGGGAAGGGTAAGCTGGGACAAAGTGAGAGAGTGGCATGGACATATATACACTAACAAACGTAAGGTAGATAGCTAGTGGGAAGCAGCCGCATAGCACAGGGATATCAGCTCGGTGCTTTCTGACCGCCTGGAGGGGTGGGATAGGGAGGGTGGGAGGGAGGGAGATGCAAGAGGGAAGAGATATGGGAACATATGTATAACTGATTCACTTTGTTATAAAGCAGAAACTAACACACCATTGTAAAGCAATTATACTCCAATAAAGATGTAAAAAAATAATAATAAATAAATGTTTGATAGAATTCAAAAAAAAAAAGGTATAACACATTAATGGGAGAAATATTTAATTAAAGATGCTTGGACAACCGGCTAACCATATGGAAAAAGAGACTAAAATCTTTTTCTCACAAACAAAAATCAATTCCAGATGTTATTATAAAATAAAACTTGAAAAGAAAAACTGTAAAAATGTTTATAAGAAAACATAGAAGACTTTGTGACACTGGGGTAGAGAAGAATTTCTCAAACAAGAAAGGACATATCAAAGAAAAAGATGGACACGTTTGATTTTATGTCCAAATTAAACATTTCTATATAATTCTAAGGAAGGGAAAAGAAGTCACACTGGATAGGTGTTGTTGGGATTATTATTCCAAATATACAAAAAAAACCCCTGACTTCTACAAATCAATTAGAAAATGACCACCCATTAGTAAATGAAACAAATATACACAGGCAATTCACAGAGGAAGAGAACAAAACAGCCAACAAATGCAGGTGTTTAACCTCATGGTTATCAGGAGAATGAAAATGAAATACCACTTCTCAAACATTTGTTTGGCAAGATTTTTAAAATCTGGTAACATAGTGAAGGCAAAAATGTGGCCAATTCTTACATGCTCCTTATACCTTGTAGGAATGTAAACTGCTGCAACTGCTTTAGAGTTTTTGGTAATTTCTTGCAAAACTGAAGAAGTCCACATCCCAGGGCCTTGCATTTTCAGCTCTAGGTGTCTGTGCCAGAGAAATGTATGTCCCATGTGAGCACAAGGACTTTGCGTATGATACATACAATGTCTTTCAGCATTCATTGCTTTTGACAGTGAAAAATTGGAAATAACCCAATGGTAAAGGGTGAGAAATTGTAGGTTACTCAACAGGGACTGCTTACAGGACAGTTAAAAATAAACTGCATGAATTAAATGAGTCAATTTGAATAAATTTCAAAGATAATCACAAGTGAAAAAGCTGCAACAGGACATATAGTATATCACGTAAAATTTTACATATACAATAGTATGCATTGTTCCTGGATAAGAACTTGAATACATGCTAAAATATACATTAAGAATAATAGATACCAAGTCTGTGGTATATATACTTCTAAAGAGGAAGGACTTTTTTTTTTTAAGAGAGATTTATAGAAGAAAAGGGTATCTACACAAGTTTTTCATTATTTTCTGCGCTGTTTGAAATTTTTCATAACTAAATATTTTTCAAAGCAAATACAAAAATTTAGTTGAATTCGTAAGACAAGTTTTAACAAATACAAGTCACGAGGAAAAAACTGTTGTTGAAAATAGATGTGAACCACTGAAATCCGGGCAGTGGCAGGGTACTGAAAAAGTAAAGGATCCAGAAATCTTGCAAGTGTTTTTATAAGCTTTGCTCCACATTAAAAAAAGGGTTAGAAAGCTTAGACACTTTCTGATATGTTTTCTGCAGAGAGAAACTATAATCAGTAAAGCCATATACAAAGAAAAGACTAGTCTCATGTAATAAAAAATGGTGAGTAAATATACATTTCTATGTCTTAAGTTAAATACAAAATTAAAAAAATTAAAAAACAGAATTTATGGGGGATGAGTAGAAGTCAAGAGTGGGCTGAGCCTAGGAGAAGACATTGGCGCGCCCCTGAAGGCGGGCACCCCCCCCACCCCGATTTGCACCACAGGTACCTCTCTTGCCTCATCCTGGTCTGGCCCTGGTTGGGAAATGCAGTGTTACCTGAAATACCTGGACATGAGGGCTGGCCAGACACGGTCCCCACTGCCACCCCTCCCAAAAATCCATAGAATTTAAAGTGTCTGAACATTTTAACTTAAAAATTTTAAAAGGTGATTAAAACAGAGTATATTTTAAATTATATTTTAACCAACTTTTAAAATTTAATTACCAAGTATAGGTCCCAATCACAACAGATGAAAATGCTTGTATGAATCTAATTATTTGTTTTCTTTCAACAGATAAGTGGGTTAAGATAAATTAAGGAATGGAAAAGAAGAAGCCAGAGATACAGTTATGAAACACCACCACCAAACTATGTTGTATTAAACTTCAGCAGAAAGTGTCACGAATCTGGCTCTGACCTTCCTTAACAGTCAACAGGAAGGAAATTTGATCAACTATCCCTACAGCACAGTATGGAGACTGCTAACGCTTAATGTCTTATTAATGCCACAGATTCTTTATCTTTGTAGCTAACTATCACCAATTTGTAGCCACTAATGTATAATATGATTTTTTGAACGTAAAACTATTTCTTAGCATTCAAGAAGTTGGGCTATACCCTGATCATATTTGATAGGAAAAGCATCCTGTGACTTGGAAATTTTATTTTAGAAATTCTATCTTAGAAATTCTATCTGTCCATGGCAATAAAACATTTTTACCCGTTAGGGAGTTTTTTTTTTCTTTGCTACTAGGGGCTTCTATTCCTTTATTTTGCTTTAATATTGGCTAAATTAAGATGTCATTCACAAGAGTTTATCAGTAGACTCAAGTTATACCGGTGAGGTTGAATCCTTATTTCTAAGTGATCTGATGCTCTTGGAAATTTGGAAATATGATTAATTCCTACTAAATTAATTTTTCTGGTAAGTATTTGCTTGGACATCTTCCACAATTGCATAAATTCTTTTATTAACCTTAAACCACTAAGAATCTAGACTCTTAGTTGGAGAGCATAGAGAGGAATTTGTTTTTCCTTCAAGTTAGCCATGACCCCATCAGTCTTTGAAAACATCCCCTTCTGGGTAAACAATGGCTTCTAACCATTTTGAACTCTTGGCGTACTTTTAAGTACATAATGGAGGAACACTTGAAGGAATTAAATTGCTGCACAATTACGCTATTTTCTAAGAAGCCATTTCTCAGGTATCACTGTTAGGGTAGAATTATTTACTATTGGAGTTGCCAGATAAAATACAGGATGCTCAGTTAAATTTGAATTTTTGATAATGCATAAATAATTTTAATTATATCCCAAATACTGCTAAAAAGTAATTTGTTGTTTGTCTGAAATTCAAATTTAATTGGGCATCCTGTATTTTTATTTGCTAAATCTGGTGGCCTCATTTACCATGCCTTTTTTTTTTTTTGCATATCCCAGTAAATACAGATCTCTTTGGGGCCAGCTTCACATTATCTTCCACCTCTTATTTGCTGCTAAAAGAAAACTGAACTCCTTATGAACAAATTACAGGACCTGCTCAGTTAAAAATTAAAGCGCCCCATCTGACAGAAGACAAATCACTAGTTGCAGTACGAAATATATTTTACACATTGCTTAAAGCTCAATGGCATACTGATACCACTAACTTGAGTGAAACCGTCACGGTAAAAGTGCACACACCCGTGTCAAAGCAGTTTTACGTTCAAGCACTGCTTTAAAAAAAAAAAAAGGTTAGCTCAAGGAACACAAAATTTCAGGCAGTGATCTTCGGTGATTACTGCCTGCCTTCTAAAACTTACACCCCTCTGGTTGCTCCTCCCCTGTTG